CTCTCTCTCTCTCTCTCTCTCTCTCTCTCTCTCTCTCTCTCTCTCTCTCTCTCTCTTTTTCTCATTCATTCGGTTACAATTCGTATCCCCCTTTTCAAGCATCGTTTGATCCATCGATCAACGATTTTTCTTTATTTTTTTTTTTGTAGCTTGGTTATAATTTGTATCCCTCTTTTCAACATCGTTGATTCATCGATGAACTTTTCGATCGTTAACCTACTTTTCTTTGTATCTTTTTTCCATCTTTCCCTTCTTGTTTATAATTTGGTTATAATTTGGAATCTTGGAGGGATCGTCGAAGCTTCGTTAGCAAAGAGGCAACGTCGATTTATTCAAGAATATTTTAATGAGCTCCTTTTAGAGGGCCATTTTATTCCTTTAACTGGGTCACAGGGAGAAAAGGAATGAGAAAGAGAGGATAACAATGAAAGATCTTTATTTCTCGAAGCATGGACGAGATGAGAAGGATAATATCAGGGATTCAAGATATTAAAGACTTAGACGGGGGAAATAGAGATCGTATCGATCGAGAATATGGCGTAAAGTATGTAAAAATTACTGTTCCGTGGAACAAAGAGAAGCATACGGTGTATAAAAGGTGTCGTCACGCTCTCGTACTCATTTTCCAGTTCGAACGTTTATTATTTTTATCTTCCACCGGTGTAAAAATGAATATTTACGATCGATTATAAAAATATCGGGGCACGTTTGTCGAGCATGTAGTCGAGCCGTTTATCAAATTCGAATATCAACAATCGAAAACAATTTCGCGTTGAAAAATGATCGATATATTTTATGAAAAATATTCAGAAAATTTGAATACCTAATTAATAATTAATTTATCAATTACATACAATAATAACTACAAAAAGTATTCAAATTTTCGAATGACTATAAAAATTAAATGTATGGAAGTAAAATATAAAATCTCTACGTCTATATATATGTATGTAACTAACTCTAAGAATAATATATTTTTGAAAAAGATAATTCATAACCTGAAGAATAAATTCGTTTCATAACGAACGTATTATCTACCATATTAACATTTCTCCTATGTCATTCATTCATAAAAATCTAATTGGAACGGACATCAATGACATTAGAATAGGAATCGTATTGCTTCCCATTATTCGATTATTCCATAAGTACGCGAGAATGCCAAGTACGAAAAAAGAATTCGCGATTTCTCCGAGGTAGAAAATGCGGTGGCGATAATGGTATCCCTCCACACCGTGATCACTAGCTAGATGGTAGGCACCCTTTTTCAACCTAGCCGCGATAATAGCAATTGGAATTAATTTCTTCGAGTGGTGGAAAACGTTTTAATGGTTTTTCCACATAACTAGAAACCCATTAACGCATCCCCCACTTATCCAGAGGGCAATGCTCCAATGAAGAATGCCACGTTTTTCAACCCTCTTTCAAACCCATTCCAACTTCCCCGCATATTTTATCAGATATCCTTACTATTATTATCTCATTAATACTCGAAAATTATACGTCGAATTACGATGATATAACAATTAAATGTTCTAAGTTAATTTCGCATCACGAGAATCATGACTACTAATCGCTACTATTAAAAATATTTAAACAAAAATTTCTCTAAAAAAAAGAAAACAAAAAATCGAAATGATCGAATCATAAATTATAATGACACCACGCATATTTCTACGTACTAGGTCAAAAGGAACGAACTAACCTAGAAATCACGTCTGAAAGAAGTAATTAAATCCCTCGCCATGCTCCGCGCTGCTTTCATCTCTTTCAGTCGAAATTCATTGGTAACCGCCGAGGGAGAAGTTTTCCCCGTTTTAAAAGCGGGACGACAGTTTTTCCGGGGTCCCGGGTGAAGAGCATTCGAAGAAGGCGAGAGAACATCAAAGAACGTTGTGGGACAACCGTAGGCATTCGCTCAGAAACCGCGGTTGGAATTTTTCAACTTTTCTCATCGGGCCGTCGAACCTGTCGCGACCTCGGGCGCAGGGTGGAAACTTTCTCGGCAAAAAGCTCGATCGGTAAAAAAGGGAAACAAGAGGGTGGCCGAGAAAAAGTCACGAGCTATCGCCACTATCCTCGGCGTCACTCGTCAACGAGGGGAGGAGGAAGCGCCGATCCCTTCCACCCCCGTTGAATCGTGGTTGGTTCGAACTTTTAATTACCCGCTACTTAAGAAACGATCCGTGAAAGGAAGGAAGGAAGAGAGAAATAATGGAGGAAGAAAGAGAAGAAAAGGGGAGAGAGTAAAATGGAACGTGAAGGCCTAGCGTTTGCGGAACGGACTTAAACAACCACTCGAAACTGCTTCCTAACAAGAAAAATCTTTCGAGTATCCTTTCTGGGGTAGCCATTCCAACTTCTAACAACACTTTTTTCTCCTTTTTTTCCCTTTTTTTTTTCAATTAATTAAAGCTGAGCATTGAGAAAGATTCGTATAAAATGGCGGATGGGAAAATGATCTTGTAATTGGAATCGGTTGGAGGGGGAGGGAAAAAAGGAAACTGTTGATTCACGAAAGGTAAACACGTTATTGGAAAAATGCCAATACAGAGAGACGAGAAGGAAAAATGAATTGGAAAATATATATTCAACGTTTCATTCCACGATGTATGATTTTCCCTCTCGTTAGTTGAATTTCGTAATATGTAGATATTACTGTGGATTTCGTCCACACGTGAAATTTTGATTTTTCGTGGAAGTCGAGTTGTATTTTTAAAACGGATTTTCTATCGTTTCTTAAAAAATTATCGGGGGAATCTGAAAGATCTGCAATATTTTTATCCGATTTCGATACAACTCGCACAACTCTCGTGAGTAATGGAATGGCAATTTATCCTTGGACAAATTCAATAAGAGTCGGTGATCAATCATGGTGTAATACCCATCGTGAAATCATTTGTATCGTTTTATCATTAAAAATAATCTATTACGATGGATGTAATCCGTTTTACAATGTAAGATTAATCTTCGTGAAGGAAAAAAGAATAAGCTGAATCAATTATTTTCTTATGCAGTTCTCTTTAGACACAATGTACATAGTGAATTTCTATCGTCGCGAAAATATTGTAAAAACGTATAATTGTTGCCAATTCCAATAAATAATTTTCCTATTCTAACACTAATATATTATAAATTATATAAATTAATTACTAAATTCCAAAACAATCGACGAAAGAATATTTCCGATAATTTTACAAAATGTAATTAATTTCTGAATCGTATAAATATAAAAAAAAAATACTTATTCACTCTAAACACAAATAATTTTATCTCTATCCCAATTTTATTTTAAGAACATAATTAATCGAAAACAACGCAAGAAAATGTTTTCAATATTCTATAAAAATATTGAAAATATATATAATCTTTTTTAAAAATCCTACAAACAAACTGTAATTCGATTAACGCCCATATAATTTCCATAATTTATTTCACAAAACTAATTATTTTTATTCGAAAACATCGAAAGAAAAAATTACGTACATTGAATTTAATATATATTTTATTAATTTAAATTTTTTGAGAATAAAAATAATTAATTTTGTGAAATAATGGAAATTATATG